CTATTTTCCCCCCATAAACACCACTGCCATTGAAGTTAATGTTAATTAATGCACAGCTTTCAGGTTTTCGAACACTAGTAAATTATATAGATGGACTGTTTTTTCACATAAATCCTCGTTGGGACATTGACATCCAAAGGGGCGTCTGTTTCTTTCCTTTGTTAAACATTGGATTTATTAAAGCACGGTCAGAAAATGAATCTTTGATCACTCTGGACTTGGGACTCTGAAATGCGTTTATAGTGTTCGATGGTGCGTGAATATCTAAAAGTTATGGAGCAATGTTTGGATAGTTGTGGTGAATAGTCAGCATGTGCCCCACATCTTCTCCGAAACTGGTTCATGCATGCGTGGATCCAGGCCAAAGTGAGAGACTCCGTCTGGCTCTGCATTTGTTTTCCTGTGATTTGTTTTCATCTGCACCTGGATGAGTAGTGCGGCATCGGTGTGGGACCCCAATCAGCTTCTCCACCGTCTGATAGAAAGGGAGCTCTGCTAAGCCTTTAAGCCGCTTTAAACCCCTGAACTCCAATTTATTAGGGAAAAAAAAAAAACAACAGTGGCCGCTCTGTGAATAAAACCTGCCTTTAAACCCAAAAGTCGGTGGAGGGAAACGTAAACCAAGCGCCAACGTTTATCTTTTCTCATGTCTGTCTGATTCTCACCTGGATATTAAATGGCCTCAGATAAAAATGACAAACATGTCAGAGCATTTTAGTTTTCATTTCAGAGTTCCATGAATTTAGATCTGGCTGTTTTACTTCATTATTGGCTCACAAATGGGAAAGAATTTATGCATCCAAAATAAAAAATAACACATTGATTCCCTAGTCTGTCGCACAGTGAAAAAACTTTAATCAAACTGATTTAGCAGAGACATCTTAAAGGAGATTAGAGCTAGTGTTACGTCTTATAGTTATTTCTTTTCTATAAAATGGGCTTGCGGCCATATGTTTTTTCCTTTTTTTTCATGCAGCTGATCTTTTGATTGACTAATGCACTAACCGGGTGATGCATGCCCCTGCTAATAAACAAGCCCTGGAACTGCGTGACTCCTAATGTGATTGGCGTTAGCTTGCATTACCGTTACCTGTCCTTGTGTAAGTTGCCATGCCGGCGCTGCCAGAAGTCCCTGCTCTGTATTTATAGCCGGGCTTCTTAGTGTCTGTCCTTGTTAAGCAGAGATGTCTGTGGACATACTCTTTTCCGGCTGGATTAAGCCCGAGTCGGCGCGGGGCTGCGTCTTTAACATCCAGGGAGGCGAGAAGTTCTGCTTCGTCTTGTCTGCACTTGCACAGCTTTTTTTAATTTTATATTTAAAGGCCTGTTGATCCAGGTTGTAAAAACAAAGGGGCGGATCTGTAATTTAAGACTTCACGCAGAATTGGTGATCACGGTGGATAAACGGGGGAAGACGTGTGAAGGGGGACTTTTGCCATGTAGCTCTTGGGAAGAAGAAACCCTGAGAGTGTGGGGGGCACAATGGGAGCAGTGCTGAGCTGGTTTTCTACTCACATTTGTGCCCTTGTGCTGAACACAGCCGACTCACTGAAGCTGTTGAGAGTGAGTATAAAGTGACCGAAAGAATGAGCGTGTTTGTGTGTGTGTACAGACGGGAAACAATCAGTTTCCTCAGGTACTGAATTCAAATAGAGGAATTTGGGATCATGGGTTGTATCTGCTCTGTTGTGAGTCAGTAATAACTGGTAATAGTGTGTTTTTGTGAGTGTCCATGTGTGCGCACGTGTGTGTAGGTTTGCATAAATGATGGCAGATTGCTGTTGGGGTTTTGTGAGGCTCTAGAAGGGAGCAGGGCGATCTTACCCAGGTCTTGGGAATGGGGCTATTCTCTTCCTTCTTACAGAGCTGGATTGCAACATTTATAGCATCTCTTAAATACTTTGCCTAACAGTCTGGCTGAGGGTGATCCTTAATGTTGTCCAGATTATGTGAAGGTTGAAATGGAAAACCATATTGAACAGGTTTTCATGTTCTGTACATATGATCTAATAAATACATTCTGCTTTATAATATATTATCCTAATAACACATATTTCTATGGTTTCCTCCCTCGGGGTTATGTGTGTGGACGGTCATGCAGTCCAACACAAACACACAAGACATTGCCCATTGATGAGCCACTATGTATCCATTTAAAGTAGATATCTTGATTTTTGACTTTATATGAAGCATATTATGCCATATTTTGATTGTAAATAACAATTTCATCCTTTCTTTTCACCGTCATTAAAACAGCACTCCTTAGACGAAACCAGAGATATGTCAGCTGCTAAGCAAAGATGGAGTGATAGACTATCTATTCAATTGATCCTGATAAAACCAGCCAACCACATCAGTTTGAACCAAAATGAATGAAGTGCAAAAGAGAAAAAAGAAAAAAGAAAAGTAAACGGAAAAAGTATTATAGACTGAAGTAAACCCTCTTTGAAGCACATTTCCCTCATGAATCAAGCCTTAAATGGGCCCAGTTAAGTTTAAATAGCCTGAACACGAGTAGTATTTACATAAAAAGTCTTGTGTTGACTCTTACTGGAACACGACCCGTATAAAAAGTTGGTCAAACTTAGTTCTGAAAGCTTCTAAAGCTGAGATGTGACACACAATGTTCAGTACTGCTGAAAAAATACACAACTGGGGCCGTCACTCTTGCAGATGTAATGGAAACAAGAAAAATAAAGGCAGCTCAGAGGTTGAGACAAAAAAAACCTAATTTAATTAATAACATATGCTGAAACAAATGGTCACTGAATAAGATATTTTACACCATGTTTGGGTTTGGATTATTCGGTTAGTTGGGACTTACTATCCCTGACATACAAAAATATGAGCTCCTACGTTATTTTTAGATTTTACCAGGGCCCTAAGATCCTTTATTTCTTTTTGTATGTCTTCATTTTTGTTGCTTTCGCAAATACAAAGCATAAAGCAGATATAAAAGCACCCGTACTCCCCAAACTTTTGTTAGTGTTGTTTATGTTAGTATACTGACAATGAAGTTTGGATCCAAATGAAGAGGAGGCTAGAACTTTCTCATGGGTTATTTTTTACCTGTCATGAATAGAAACCTGAATGCAGTGAAACATTCCAACAATGCTTGAGATGAACACTGGGTGAGGGAGTCAGGATTTTTTTTTGTCTGGAGATGTGGCATTCAAAGGGATTTTTGCTTATTTAGCACACTAATTATTGGACAAGACTTCAGAAGCCATATAGGATGTTATAATCTAAAATATATCTGTTTAAATAGTAATGCACTAAATACCTTATGCTGTTTTTTTATTTCCATCTTTTTCTGCACAGCACCAGGAAGCCCTTGAAGATTCCCCCAGCCCCTCCGAAGGATTAATAATAGAGAAGACAGATTTTGCTGCTGACTCCTTGGAGTGGTGTGAACAAAGCACAGAGGGATGCGACTCATGCTATGAGGTTTTTGAATCCTTGAGGCACACCGGCGCTCTGTCAGAACTGAATGGAGACGGAGAAAACTCTCGGGAGGCTCTGTTGGGATCAGAGGACGCCTCCTTTGGCTGGAAAGTAACCGAGGGCGGCTTCTGTTCAGCGCTCACAAAGACCCGAAGGAGGGAGTCTGTGTCAGCCAAGGATGGCCCCAGAGAAACAAAAGAGGTTTATGCTGGCCAGTGCAGCGGTGGCCGGAGGAAAGGTCCCGAGAGCTACGCGGACCCCGGCGCTTCCCTGAAACTCTGTACCAGAGATTCATGCCCAGCCGAGACCCCGGCCTGTGCATGGAACACGAAAACCGACTTTCGCCAACAGCCGTCGAGTTCACCGGGGGCGTTGAACCAAACTCAGGTCGAGAGCCGCACGGAGCCGTGCAATGTTCCCAAAAGCCGACACGACACAAACACCTTTGAGGCGAAGGTAAAGGCTCCCGCAGACACTCGAGCACTGAAGGGGCACGTGCAACTCGCCGACCCCGCAGTCTCAGAAACTTGCGTCGTACATATCGACGGCCCGGTTGTGGGAACACGCCCACAACAATGCGCACATAAACACAACACATGGCCCCTGACAAAAAGTACAATTACAGAAAGCCAAAAGACAAAACGTGAAGGAACATTCGAAAGCTACGATGCCCTTGACGGAGATGAGCTGCTGAGCACTCACTCTGAAAAGAAAGATGCAGTTTTAAAAAGCTGCGACAGTTTCTGTGGGGCTACACATGAAAAACATTCGGAGGCTTTAGCCAATGTGGACAGAGAATTAGCAGATCGGAGGTGCTCCAGCAAGGATGAAGAGGACTCCAACGAGAATTTAAGCACATGCTATAGAACAGGGCACAGAGTGGAGAGTAAATGTAAGGCTAGTGCACATATAGATGTTCCAGACCTCACAGATGCAGTAAAATGTAACACAAATGTAGAATACACAGACTATGGATTGACTGCAAATAACACAAAGCCAGAGTTCAGAGCCACATCAGAGGCGGTGGCCAGCGCACTGGCACAGGAGGTGGATTGTTACCGCTCACAATCCGAGCGTAAAGAAGGCAGTGACAGAGGATTACCGGCGGTCCTACCAGCCATAGGAAGTTCTGAGGAAAAGGCATGCGTGCGAGACGTCTGCTTCCAGAAGAACGGACCTACCGCAACAGAAGAAACCAAATCACCTTGGCTACTGAACGAAATCTGTACTGCTGTCTCATTTTCCCAAAAGACAGGAGTCTATTTTCCTTTGAACACGCGTGTCACCGAGTTGACCGCTGATCCAAAACTTCCCTCGCCTCTTCTGCCAGAACAATCAGACGGGAAGGGGTTCATTCAGAGGCCACCTGACCCAAATAAGCCTCTGAGCACAAGTCCACAATCTTGCCTTATAGCAGGTCTAACCCAACGTTTAAGCCCAAATTTCTTGGATGTGGAACCTCTTTCTGAGAAAATACATCCAGGGACTGAATCAATTCACTTCCGTTCTGACTCTGGAAGGGGGTGTGAGGAACGTCCTTTTTATAACCCTCTCTTGGATAATCAAGCATTGCTTCCTGACCACCAAGGAACACATCATTTCCCCCCTCCATTAACAGGCAATCTCAGTGAAGGCCAGACATGGGTAGGATTGCCCTGCTCCCCTCCACAGCCTAAAGAGGAATGGAAGAGGGAGGATGGTCGTGTTTATCCTGACCAGGAGCAAGCTGTGGACACAGTAAGTACAGACCATCTTTGGAAGTCAAAACTTGACTCAGAAGAACTTCTGGAAAGCAGAAGGCTGACGGTTTTCAAAGAAATAACTGGAGATCCTGATGCTTATTTAGCTGAGCCTTTGACTTACAAGAGGGACGGGATGTCAACAGTTCATGTTTCTACAAAGGAAACTCATGACTACAATTTACTTCAGCAAACAGATGCACAAAACCATGTCAGCACAGATAGTCAGCAGGTGGAGCTAAAGGTTGAGATACCTGAACCCCCCTATAGGCTAAAATCTTCCCTCTCCCTGTCAGACTCAAACAATAATTCCAAGACCATTAAAAAAGAGGCGTTGATCGAGAAAAGTATAGTGGACTGTTCATCAGGGGAAGTTCAGAACAACTGCGAAGGGTATGGGAAAATAGTTGACCCTCTTGTCGAGTCATCTAAAGATGTGAGCCTGAATAGTTTGGAAAATGTAGTCAAGCCCCAGGAAGATTCACAGATTGTTGACCACAAACCCTGTTGGGACAGTCAAGAACTAGGATCCACGATAGGAAAAGTCGTAAGCACAGCTCAAGTAGACAGCCTGCAAAAACTGTCGGAACAGAAGTGCATAGAGGCCGGTATTGTTTTAGAAAGACAAAACAGGGGTAGCCTAGTGTCAACTTATAGAGTGGATAGTGAAGAAGAGAGGCACAATTTCAAACAAATAGTGGATGATAGCTTACCTTACACAATAGGCGACTTTTCAGAGGACTGTTTTTATGAGTTAAGAGAAAACAGAGTTTCACATGAAGAAATTAAGCTAGCAATAAAGTCCTATCCTAATAACAGCCACAAACTAGCTGCTGGTAATAGTTTGGTTCCAATACTGGAGGCAGATTGTTCATTGGAAGAAGTATTGGCCAGTAGCACAATGGATAAAAGGGAAGAAGAAGATACCATAAGTCCTTCAGAGGGGAGGGTTTTACATGAAGATATTGTCAACGTTTCAGGGGACATCTCCTGTTCTAAGCTTTCACACCAGCAGATTGGGCAGGAATATCATTCTTTAATCACAAGTGAGTTGGAATCTGATGTAAACCCAGTTCTGTCTTCCCTTGGTAGTGATAGTAACCCCATTACTGATGCCTATGATCCAGTGTCCTTCACCACAGCTAGGAGCCACTGCACTGAGACGAAGGAACCGCCATTTTCCGTTCCAGCTAGTAACAGCAGCCCTGAAAAACTAGCTAGAAGTGACAGATCAAAAAGCATTCTGACAGGAGATAAAGCATCCAGGTTTTCAATGTTTGCTAAAATTCCCTCTTTTAGAAAGGTAACGGTGTCAAAAGCAGCAAAAAGTGAGGACACGCCATTTCCTTCGTCAGACTGTGGTGAGGTGTTTCTGTCTGAGCAGGGGCCACAGTGGGACCACTCAGACGATGAGGTTTTTGTCAAAGATGAGGTCCCGTACCAGTCCGGCCACCCGGCGCCATATCCTGAGTGTAACGGGATCAAACAAGAAGACAAGGGCTCCATGTCTTCATCTCCCAAAACTTATCACGTCCGTCAGATCGTAAACCATGGAGAAAGTTGTGAGTGTGAGGGAGATGTGAGCTCAAACAACCTCTTGAGGCAAATCCAGTCATCTGATGTTCAGAGTTACAAAAGAAGCAAAAGCAATGACAGTTTGAACATCTGCATGCGCTTCGCACAGGTACACAAGTCCCTCTCTAGCCTTTTTGAGTCCTTTTCCCTGGATAAGGAGAATAATAAGCAGGCCGCTGTGAGCATTGACATGTATTCTGGTAAAGTCAGTCAATCTTGGAGGAAGCTGAAAAAAAACTTGGAGCCAGAACATCTGAAAAGAACTCTTTCAGCACCCGAGGGTGAAGGAAGCAAAGGTGCTTCGGAGCACCATCAGGGGGGCTTGAACTCCTCCCCACTCACCAGCTCAGGATCACCATCCATTTTCAGAACGCTTCGCCACACCGACCCTATCTCTAAGAGGCAAGTTCCAACAAGGAGCAGAAGCGAGAACCCCCACGGATGTCAATCTGAAGGGCCCACAAGAAAATGTCCACCAAATGGTCAAGCTGCCATCCTGGGTCTGTCCTGCCGATCTCTAATATCAGATGACGGCACGATCCAAAATCCTAATTACACAAAGCCCGTTTCGCCGATCAGCCCCTACTTATCAGCCAGAAGTAGTAGTCAGAATTTGCCCTCGTTTTCCAGCTCCCAGACACTAGCCGGTGAGGGAACACCTGGGCCCCCGCTTAGGCCAATGAGCCCCAAACCTAACAGTCCTCTCTCAACAGCCCAGCGCAGAATTTTCCATTATCCTTTCACAACGAGGGTCAGGTCTCTGTCTTCTGTCCTCCGGGGCCAGGCGATCAGTGTGGAGGGACTGACACACACCCCTGAGCGGCCAAAGACCCTGAGACCCTCTGCTAGCCCTCTGGGTCTCGGTTTTAGTCTTCTGGATGCAGCACAAGGCAGATTAGACAGTCAGTTACACATCAGCCTCTATGACACTGGCTCCATCAATGAGTTGGAGGTAAGAAAAAATAGTTTTCCGTGCAAACTAATGTACATTAACTACTATACACATATGCACAAACACACACATATATGTGTATGTATGCATGCATAGTATATGGATGTATAATTACAGAAATGTTTTGAAATGATCACCAGGCTCAAAGGGAAGACTTTCGTCTCCTCGACAATAAAAAAAAAAAATCATAAAACATTTGCTTCACTTTCAACTTATTTAGAAAATCAATATAAATAATTTTCTTAATGTATTTGCCAGTCATTTTTAGAGGCTGACCGAAATGGGCATAATCAGAGTTTTTAATGATTTTTTTTTTTGTTAAAGCAGGAGTGAGACACCAAGAATGAATTAAAAACTGGAAAATCACATAGCGCGATGGATCTTGCAGAAACATTTTTTTAAAAACAAATCCTTGCCTCCATTTCTGCTCCTGTTATTTGACAGTGGATGCTTTCAGACTGTTCAAACTTTACCAACCTGAGCATGTAGACTAGCAGCGCAACTCGTTTGATGGAGCAAAGAGAGACGGCAGTTCTTTAACTTTGAAAAAGATGTCCTAATTTAATATGCAACCGACTAAACAAGATAGTTACATCTATCTGTTTTTTACTGCAAAATACTGTAAACACACAAATATTGATAATCTATAATATCAGACTGTACAAACTAGATGTTACTTATGTGAAATAATGTGGATTTGAATAGAGCAGTGTTTTTTTTTTATACATGACTGTGATAGATGTGCTTTAAATATTTAAAAAAAAAAGGAAAAGAAAGACAGTCCTGGAAAATATTCAAGGCTGTAGCCCTAATATCGGTGAACATTCCCCAAATTCTCTTTAAAACTTTCTACAAATTATTTATTTTTCTGTACATTCGCTTAGTGTCTTTTAAAAGACAAAAGCAACGACCAGGCAATGAAACAGCTACAAAAACATGAAAATCTCAGACTGTACTCAGACCTGTGCATGAGCGTATCATTGCTCACAGCTTTGGAGGCACGTAGGTGCAGATTTATATAACTGAAGAAAATAATCCTTAGGAATGTGAGAATCTTTGTAGTCACTCAGTTTCAATTTAAAATCTACGGAAAATGAATGCTCCTCACCTATGAAGTTAGATCAGCATCACTACCTTTCCTAACCTAGACTAATTTTGAAGTTCTATGTGATTGAATTTAAAAAAAGGACGTCCAAATGGTCACAAACTAAATTAAAGTGTCTAGCAGTTTACTTTGGGGGTAAAAAGGGGGAAGTAATGTAGGGAATGTGACTAACCGGTTAACTGTGCACTCAAAAGGTTACACAGAATGAGGGACGATGTGCCGGCCTCTCCGGAGTGAGAGAGCAGACGGAGGTGAAGAACAAGGAGAAAGCCTCTGGGTCTCGTGGCGGGAGACATTGCTACCGGGCGGATTTGGACCCTGACGAATTTTACCAGCAGCGAAGACACAAGTGTTTGGACGACCTCTGGATCGAGCAGCAAAAGAAATATAAGAGCAAACTGGCCGGAGGCACCAGAGGCAGCATGGACCAACTGGACAGGCTGTTACCTGAGAGGACCGACAAAGTAAGAAGTGACCACTCGGGGCTGCCGGCCGCCCGGCTACACACCACAGCCTCCGGAATCTTTATCCTCCTCATTTCTCTTCTCCTTTTACCTCGCTTCTTACTGTCTCTTCCTCCTGGACAATTTCCTCACTTTGACGGCCTCTTGCTGCTTTCTTGGAAGTAACATCTGGACATCTGGGTCCTGCTTTCTGCATCCTTCACGAACTACTTACCCGATCCGTTTCTCAGTACTTTACACGTTTCCGTTTATTCTGCTTTGTTTGATTTGGAAACCATTGGTGTTGACTACATGATTTTTCTGTTCCATCGGTAGACGGTGTTCTATCAGTATGTTTGTCAGTGGAGTGAAAATGCTCTCCATGTCCACAGACGGACGCCGGAGTCCCGTTGGAGCAGATGGAGGCCTTCCGGGGGATGCCCCTCATGAGCCACTGTTTCTCTCACAGCACCCCTATTGGTCTTGACTGCCTTGGCTGGAGAAGAGGCATATTCTGTGAGTACCTGCGTTATCTTATGAGCGTTAGAGGCTATTTTCAACTCGCTATTGCAGTGGTTCTGCTGCCGAGCCGCTGAGCAATGACTTTAAAAAATGAAGCGTTGCAACTTGTAGAACGGGATGTCTGTAATGGAACCCTCCTGCATACTTACATCATCCAGATGTGTGAGAGGGGTTGACATTTTTGGTGAGATTTTCCTTCCCTTTAGGGCTTTATTTGGGTTTTTTTTATTACCTTGTGTGAAGAAACCAAGAAGTAAAGTCTCACAATAGATTTTTTTGAATGACTTCAATGTAGAATGAATACACCACATATATAATCAAACCATATACACCAATAGAAGGTTTTCTTAAGTAGGAATTTGTTTTGATATTTAATATCTAATAAGAAACATTGAAAAATGTAAAAATCCTGTCATTTTATCTGACTGCGTTCCTTAGAGCTGGTGCCATCTGCTGGATGATAATGTTCAGACTCAAACAGCAAAAGAATTTAACGTGTCACACTAATCGCACGCCAGCAGTGGAGATTACATTTATGGACTGAGTCACCCATTCTGAACATAAACAAAAATCTCACATTTGTTTTGGAGCAGCAATAGAAAATACATGAATACACAAACAAATGCTGCCCGAGGAGTAAATTAAAACAACCATAGGTCTCAGCATAAAGTGATTAAACTAATTATCACTATTTATTTATTTATTTATTTATTTATTTATTTATTTATTTATTTAT